ACAGACGGGCTTTGACCAGTGGACCTCCCCACCCGGTTGTGTTAGGTCAGCCCATAGGAACACTTTGGAGCAACATCCGGGCAGACCCACAACAAGATCCCCTCCGTGTAGACCCCACGCATCCGTTTCCCCCCTCCAGGTGCCGGCGGCGGCCCCGTCCGTGAGGGGGGCACACCCCGGACACGCGTGCCTGGCGTTTGCAACTGCCACAACACTTCCAGACTTGTGAGAGGCCGCCTACGCAAGATTTGGCGGCATGCTAGCCCCCGGAGGCCGCCGGCCACAGCCGTAGACGCGCGAAGGGCAATCCCCGTAGAGGGAATTTTTCGGATACGTCTCCATCACCAAAAATTATGAAAAAATACCATCGTTCCTATAGCACATGTGCCCACGTCGTGCAAAAAAATTCATGATTTTATCGCGCTACAAGTATTTAGTAATATTGACGCCGCATCGTTACCGCAGAACGTCTACTACCGTGTCATCACCGTCCGTGAGGGGGGGCCACGCACCGGAGACGCGTCCTGCCTCTTCAGACATGCCACCACACCACCCCGCATGTATGAGGGCCCGGTGCGACGCTCCGGTGGCATTGCTACCCCAAGTGCCCCCGTCCCGCCTAACCCTGTAACGTTTGACCACGGGATCTAGCCCTTTGACTTTGCACGGACGGGCTTTGACCAGTGGAACTCCCCACCCGGTTGTGTTAAGTCAGCCCATAGGAACACTTTGAAGCAACATCCGGGCCAGACCCACAGCAAGATCCCCTCCGTGTAGACCCCACGCGTCCGTTTCCCCCCTCCAGGTGCCGGCGGCGGCGCCGTCCGTGAGGGGGGGCACACCCCGGACACGCGTGCCGGGCGTTTGCAACCGCCACAATACTTCCAGACTTGTGAGAGGCCGCCTACGCAAGATTTGGCGGCATGCTAGCCCCCGGAGGCCGCCGGCCACAGCCGTAGACGCGCGAAGGGCAATCCGCGTAGAGGGAATTTTTCGGATACCTCTCCATCACCAAAAATTATGAAAAAATACCATCGTTCCTATAGCACATGTTCCCACGTCGTGCAAAAAAATTCATGATTTTATCGCGCTACAAGTATTTAGTAATATTGACGACGCATCGTTACCGCTGAATGTCTACTACCGTGTCATCTCCGTCCGTGAGGGGGGGCCACGCACCGGAGACGCGTCCCGCCTCTTCGAACATGCCACCACACCACCCCGCATGTATGAGGGCCCGGTGCGACGCTCCGGTGGCATTGCTACCCCAAGTGCCCCCGTCCCGCCTAACCCTGTAGCGTTTAACCACGGGATCTAGCCCTTTGACTTTGCACGGACGGGCTTCGACCAGTGGACCTCCCCACCCGGTTGTGTTAGGTCAGCCCATAGGAACACTTTGGAGCAACATCCGGGCCAGACCCACAGCAAGATCCCCTCCGTGTAGACCCCACGTGTCCGTTTCCCCCTCCAGGTAACAGCGGCGGCGCAGTTCGTGAGGGGGGGCATACCCCGGACACGTGTTCCTGGCGTTTGCAACCACCACAACACTTCCAGACTTGAGAGAGGCCGCCTACGCAAGATTTGGCGGCATGCTAGCCCCCGGAGGCCGCCGGCCACAGCCGTAGACGCGCGAAGGGCAATCCACGTAGAGGGAATTTTTCGGATACTTCTCCATCACCAAAAATTATGAAAAAATACCATCATTCCTAAAGCACATGTGCCCACGTCGTGCAAAAAAACTCATGATTTTATCGTGCTCCGAGTATTTAGTAATATTGACGCCGCATCGTTACCGCAGAACGTCTACTACCGTGTCATCGCCGTCCGTGAGGGGGGGGGGCACGCACGGGAGACGCGTCCCGCCTCTTCAAACATGCCACCACACCACCCCGCATGTATGAGGGCCGGTGCGACGCTCCGGTGGCATTGCTACCCCAAGTGCCCCCGTCCCGCCTAACCCTGTAGCGTTTAACCACGGGATCTAGCCCTTTGACTTTGCACGGACGGGCTTTGACTAGTGGACCTCCCCACCCGGTTGTGTTAGGTCAGCCCATAGGAACACTTTGGAGCAACATCCGGGCCAGACCCACAGCAAGATCCCCTCCGTGTAGACCCCACGCGTCCGTTTCCCCCCTCCAGGTGCAGGCGGCGGCGCCCTTCGTGAGGGGGGCACACCCCGGACACGCGTGCCTGGCATTTGCAACCGCCACAACACTTCCAGACTTGTCAGAGGCCACCTTCGCAAGATTTGGCGGCATGCTAGCCCCCGGAGGCCGCCGGCCACAACCGTGGACGCGCGAAGGGCAATCCCCGTAGAGGGAATTTTTCGGATACTTCTCCATCACCAAAAATTATGAAAAAATACCATCGTTCCTATAGCACATGTGCCCACGTCGTGCAAAAAAATTCATGATTTTATCGCGCTACAAGTATTTAGTAATATTGACGCCGCATCGTTACCGCAGAATGTCTACTACCGTGTCATCGCCGTCCGTGAGGGGGGGCCACGCACCGGAGACGTGTCCCGCCTCTTCAGACATGCCACCACACCACCCCGCATGTATGAGGGCCCGGTGCGACGCTCCGGTGGCACTGCTACCCCCAGTGCCCCCGTCCCGCCTAACCCTGTAATGTTTGACCACGAGATCTAGCCCTTTGACTTTGCACGGATGGGCTTTGACCAGTGGACCTCCCCACCCGGTTGTGTTAGGTCAGCCCATAGGAACACTTTGAAGCAACATCCGGGCCAGACCCATAGCAAGATCCCCTCCGTGTAGACCCCACGCGTTCGTTTCCCCCCTCCAGGTGCCGGCGGCGGGGCCGTCCGTGAGGGGGGGCACACCCCGGACACGTGTGCCAGGCGTTTGCAACCGCCACAACACTTCCAGACTTGTGAGAGGCCGCCTACGCAAGATTTGGCGGCATGCTAGCCCTCGGAGGCCGCCGGCCACAGCCGTAGACGCGCGAAGGGCAATCCGCGTAGAGGGAATTTTTCGGATACTTCTCCATCACCAAAAATTATGAAAAAATACCATCGTTCCTATAGCACATGTGCCCACGTCGTGCAAACAAACTCATGATTTTATCGCGCTCCGAGTATTTAGTAATATTGACGCCGCATCGTTACCGCAGAACGTCTACTACCGT